TATAAAAATTTAACCAAATAAAGTTTATATATTACACATTAATATAAAGCAAAAATCTTGATTTTGGTCAGAAGGTCCGAGAACCTCATTTTCCTAGCAAAGAACCCATATAGTAATATTTTTAATATAATTTGTAATAGTTCACATATTATATTATGTATAGTTTTTTAGTTTCTTTTGCTTATATTATTAAAATTAATTATTAATAGTGATAATAATAATAATAATAGTAATAATAATAATAGTAATATAATTTTATTTAGTAAATTAAATTTTATTAATAATTTATTAAAAACTTATATAAATAAATTTGAATAATTAGAATGTAAATACTTTTATAAAGAAATTTTAAAAAATATATTAATTAAATATTAACTTATATTACCAAATATTATAATACTTGAATTAGAAGAAAATTTAAATTGTAATATAAATATTCATAATATTTGTGAAATATATTATAATAATATAAGAATATCAAATAATAATTATTTAAATGTAGCTTGTAATGAAATAATTTTAGGTATTTAATAAAAAAAATAATGTAAAATTAATTTTAGATTAATAATATATATTAAAGAATATGTAAAGTATATTAATTACAATTTTTTAGGTTATAGTATTTTTAATTTAACAGTGAATTTAGAAGTATTTTATTTAAATAAATTAGAAAAGTTATTAGTTATACAACTACATATAGAGTTTTAGAATTAATTTGAGTAATTATAAATATTATGATATGTAAATATTTAAATAGAAATAATAAAACTATGAAAAGTATTGAGAATAATAATGATAATATATTAAAGTATAATATTATTTTTTTTGTTGAATTGAATATTAGATTAATTATAAAATTAGAATAAAAAGTAAAAATTATGATATACAATTTAAAAATTTAGTAGCATTTTTGTCACTTTTTCCAATTACTAATAAAAATAATATATAAGAACTGTAACCTATTTTTTATCAAATATTATTGATAATTTAACTTTACAAAAATTATTTTAATAATGTATATTCAGTTAATTTTACTTGTTTAAATATTATTTTATATTTGTTAAAGTATTAAAATAATTTGATATTAAATTTATAAAATAAAATATTAAAAATTAAATAGATATTGATAATTTAAAATCATAAATATTATTATTAGAAATTGAAAGAGAATAACTTATAATATTATTATCAGAATATATTAGAGATTCAATTTTAATTAGAGAATAATAAGTATAAAATTAAGAAAAAAGTTATTATAGAAACTTGTTGAAATTTTGTTAAAAGTATTTAATTTATTAGATTCTTTAAATTATGAACAATTTAAAAAAATGAATAAAGTAGATTTTAAACATTTATTTACTTATTATAATCAAGGTATTGATTAAAAAACTTAAAGTAATACAACATCAAAATGTTTATAATATAATAATATATGAATCTCAAAATTTGAAATTTGAAAATTAAAAAAAAAGTAAATAATAAAAGAATAAATAAATCATAAAAAATTAATTTATATAAAAATAAGTGAAAATAAAAAGAAAATACTTATTTATAATATTTTTTTCTAAAAATAAAGCTTTTAATTTACTTAATTAATTTTAATTTAAAAATATAAAATAGAATTTAAATTGTGTTAAAATATATTAGAAAATAATCATATAAAAAAATAATTAATTATTATATAAAAAAATTGTTAAAATCATTAAATCAGAACATAAAAAATTAACTTTGAGCTTTAAATATTAAATATTTAATTTTATTATTTATTAATAATATATAAATTTATTAGTATTACAACTTTAATTAGTAATAAACTATAAGTTTAGAAGACTAATTTTTTCTTTTATATAAAGAAACTGCTAAAATCATTAAATTAGAATATAAAAATTTAATTGTGAGCTTTAAATATTAAATATTTAATTTTATTATTTATTTTTAATATATAAGTTTATTAATATTATAACTTTAATTAGTATAAACTATAATCAACTTTTAATATAGTGAACTCTTGATATGACGAATTTTTTAAATAAATATAATAAAAATACTTTTATTATAACAAATTGGCTAATCAAATATCTTAAAATCTTCATTATAGCTATATAGTAAAATTAAAGTCTAGAATTAAAGTTTATTATAATAAAAGTTAACTGTATAGATTTAGAAGACCAATTTTTTCTTTTATATTAAGAAACTGCTAAAATTATTAAATCAGAACATGAAAATTAACTTTAAGTTTTAAATATTAAATATTCAATTTTGATATTTATTAATAATATGTAAATTTATTATATGGGGCAGACTGCAACAAAACCAGACAAAGTGAACATTCTGTTTTTTTGACATAAATGAGAGGCTGATTATGATGTGGCTGTAAAATTGACCAGTGTACAATGTGACTGATGACGTTTTGAAAAGTAATAATGTGCTCATGGACTTGTTAATTTTAATGCTCCCTTTATCATACCAAAATAGGATGATTATAAACCATAACAGGATTAATATAGGATTACCTCTATATATAAAATATTAATATGAAACTAATTTACATTAAATCCACCATGGAACCCAAGAATTACAGCACCATTAAAAGTATTTTAAAGAAAGCTTAAGGAGAAAAAATTGCTCCCTATGTTTTTAAAATCAATGATACCCAAACTCTTCAGGAATATCTAGATCAAGAAAAAATCACTTATGAAATTTATCAAGAGGAACGGAAAATCATAACTACTAAACAAGCATTAACACCAACGCACGATAAACTAAGAAAGAAACGAAAACTTAAAGAAAGGTAAAGGAAAGTCAGGTTAACGTAAAAGGCCTCCACTGATCGAACGACCTATAATAATAAACGAAAAATTATTCTTTATAGTCAGGATAAAAAACTGCTTAAGCGCATCCGTTGAGCTTTGACACATTAAATTAAAAACATCAAACAACGTAAAAATATTTCAATTTTTTCGTAAGCATAAATTTTATTATTTCAATTATTGAAATGCATGCTTTTGAAAATATAAGTAATGTTAAAAGCACCAGAGTGATTGCATGGGAAGAAAATACTTGGACCTAAAGCCATTTATGAGTATAACCTATTCTTTGGTCACTCTGATGCAAATTAAATTTCAGTATCTTCTTTACTATCACTATTAGTAATAGTATTACTACTATCATCTACTTCATTTTTATTTTTCCCGTCTAAGTAGTTTACATCTTTCTTCTCTTTATCGATCTAACGTTGAATTGCCTCGATGGTCTTTCTCCGCGGGGTTGTTCTTCAAAAATAAAATTTTTATATTGTAGAAGCCGCAACAGTCTTTTCTTCAAGCAATTTATAAATTTCAAATGCCATTTTGTTGTTAAATCCAATTCGGTTCGTTTATCGTACAATTGTTTTAGATCATTCCACAATGTTTCAATATTTGGCAAATAAATTTTGTTCACTGACGGTTTCGTTTTTGACAATTTTCCAGTCTTCATCAATGTGCCAGTACAATTGAGCTGGCTATTACAGATTAATCAGTTTACCGATAAACCAAGAATGAAACCAATTAATATTTCAAGGAAGAATTCACTTGTGAATGTGAATATTTTCGTAAGGCGTAATTGATGGAATTGCTTGATATGTTTCGTTTATTTTATTTAACGGTATTATTGTTTGGTTTTCTGAAAGTAAGCGACTAGTGCTTGCTTCTATAATAAAATCTTGCGATAATGCTTAAGTAGAAAAATGTGCGTTGCTGCACATCAATTATCATTGGTCATTCTGAATACAATGGAAATAATAGAATTTTGTAATAATTACGTCATTGATTAAGCCACTGATCAGTGTCAGTATATTATGATACTAGATCACATCGTGCAGCAAATGAAGTAAGATGGAACTCTACCTAGAAATTTCACGTCTTACTCTTGATGACAATAAAAAGACAGCACTATTCATGCATTTTACCAATAAACCTGCTCAGAAAGCAGAAGCGGCTGCAGTTCTATCAGCCTGCAATGACGACACCACTAGGGTTAGTTATCTAAAGGCTCTCTTGGCGGCTGCTTAACCAGGTAACGACTTTGTGACTCGGGCATTGGGGACATAGAGTAGTATATACATAGGGTAGAGTGGACGTAGTAATATGGTATTGCGAGTTTGTTGGGAGAATGATACTAAGTCAGTGTTTACACAGTTTTATGGAGAAGGTTACTGTAGTAATACGAGTTTCGAATATAGAAAAGCACAGCTTTCTCATATGACAAATTTAATCTTATTCTCGTGTTGTTTGTTTTCTGCTATTAATCTACCAAAGCTTTTTTAGTGGGAAACACTTATTGTTTACATCTTGTAACCGTTATTGAACATTTTATTTAATTTTCAATCCTTCTCAGCCTTGAAGAATATTTATTGTGTGCTCTACCACATCTCGCATATTCTCCGCATGGCACTACTTTGACAAGCTCCACAAATGCAATCGGCAACCCTCCGGACGAAGTGATGATTTGGGAAGATTTTCTCGAAAGTGTAAATAATTATACATTCGATCAAGAACAAAAGAAATATGCAAAACTGGCTTTTAATGAAAATTTTATTCCAACCAATGTAGAAGTTGTCTGCCAGGCTATAGACGTTAATGTTTGCATTCCGTTGAACATGATTGGATCTAATTTTGTATTTGCAACATGAAGCGTTTCTGGCACTGGTGAACCAGATTTTGTTTGCCACAAAAAAGATGAAGATGTATTGATCTTAGCAATCAAAATCAAGAGAATACACATTTTAAACGATGTCACACCTGACCAAATGTTACATGAAGTTTGCGAAGAGAATGCTAAAGTGAGGATGGTCATACAACAACTCTACAACTACTTGTCAGAAAACGAATTTAAATATGGAATACTTTCTACTTATGATCGTAGTTGGTTTGTTAAGAGAGAACATAGATGTCTATATATATCAAACTCTCTTGGATATGATTCGACACATCCACCAGTTCTAAAAACCTACGCCTATTTAGCCCAGCAGGCAATTGACAATGGTCATCATTCCCTCATGCCAACATTATTACACAAGCTGATGATTCACAATGTAATTCTCGAAAACGCCGATATGATGATCCTAGCTCAAGACAACCCCCTTCTGGAAAAAGTCAACTAACGCTAGCTTCATCTTCCAAAGAATCATCTTCCAGTACTTCCGGAAAAACATCAGGAAAACAAGCCATGGAAGCACAGAGTTTTAAGTATGGGGATTTTAAGTATACAAGTATATTAAGTGTTGGAGAAAACAAAAAGGTTCTTGAATGTGAATTCCGTGAGAAACCAATTATCTTAAAATGCACAGACTTGTCAAAGAAACCTAATTGTCTGGATGAATTGTGAAAGGAAGTTGAAATATATAGAGTTCTTGCTAAACTTCAGGGTGTATATATTTCAGAACTGTTGTTTATGGGGATTTGGCAGAGGGAATGAGCTTTGTTATGGGATTGAGTATTGTTGGTACCACATTGTATCACCATAAAATAAATAGATGGCAAAAGAAACGGGCTCTTAGTGCATTAAAAAGAATTCATGATTGTAAAATTCTTCACAATGACATTCGTGAAGAAAATATCCTGATTGATGAAAGAGGATATATTTATTTGACTGATTTCGGTATGTCAATTCAAAATTATGATGAGAGGTTGTTTCTTAAAGAGAAGTCTGAATTATCACATTTGTTAGATTGCTATATGTGATTAATATCAAATATTAGCTAGCTAATTTTAATGATTCATGTACCAGAGTTTGTAGATGGCTTATATGATTATGAATAAAGTAACATTACTATACAATTTGTAAAATTTATATATAGGACTATCCGTATATGATAAATAATGAATATAATGGCTTCACTGAATATGACAAAGCTATACGTTTCTTGGAATTAGGTTGCAATTGTGGTTGCTCAAAAGAGATTCTGAGAGAAAGGTTTGCCAAATTACGTGAAGCGTTTCAAGCTCTCTTTAGATCTGAACAAGATATTTTTTAATGGCCCAGCTGAAAGTAATGAATGGTGGAGAAATAACTGCCAGTCGACGTCTTAAAAAGAAAACTCGTACTAATAAGCGAACATTTTACTACTGAGATCGCAATATGCCTCTTTGTCAGAAAACGTATCTCAATATGTTAGGAATTAGTCATACTCATTTGGAAAATGTCAGAAATCATCTGGTAATGAATGGTATAATGCCGCGTGTTTATAGTAATATCAAACGAGTGCCGCGATGAAAAACTAAAATAACCATTAATATAAACATTGCTACTGCCGTAAAGAATTTTCTCAAAAACTATGCAGAAACTCATGGACTACCAAGTCTAGGTAGAAATGTCAATCGCATTACTCAATCGCTTACACTTTTGCCAGCTGAAACGAGTTACAAATCAGTCTATCGTGATTTCATTGCAGGTCTTGAAAATGATAGCACGTTGAAATTGTTGAAATATGATGCATTTCGCAAGTTATGGCATCAATTAACGCCTTATATTCAAATTATGAGTCCAAGAACGGATTTATGTGATACGTGTCAACATTTTTGGAATGGCTTACAGTATAATGCTTGTAAAGAAGAAGAAGCGAAAGATTTACTAAAAAAATATAAGGAACATTTAGTTAAGGCTAAATTAGAGAGAAATTATTACAACAAAAATACGAAATTAGCAGAACAACAAAGGAAATTGGTAGACGATAATTACGTTATAACTGGAGCTAAAGCTGATTATTGTAGCATTGACATGACGGCACATTACAGTTACGATTGAGCGTAAAACGTTCACGTGTCCTATTTTGATCAACAGGTAAGCAAGATTTATTATCTTAGTCCACGTAAAGTACATTTATTTAGTATTCAGAATGAAGCAGTACACGAACAAATTAATTACGTTCTTGATGAAAATGAAATTATCAGCAAGGGTCCTAACGGCACACTGAGCCTGGTATTCGATGGAATTAAGAAATTGAATAAAGGCAAAAATATTTAAAGGTTACTTGTGATAACGCGGGAGAACAAAATAAAAATAATGCCACTATTTGATTTTACCTGTATTTAGTAATTTGTGGTTATTATGAAAGTGTCGAATTAAATTTTATGGTACCTGGACATACTAAATTCAAGTGTGATGGTAGTTTCGGATTAATTAAAAAACTATACCGAAAAACAACAGTAGATTGTGTAGATCATATAGTTGAAGTTGTGAAAAAATCGAGTACAGCGAGATTAAACAAAGCTCAGTGTTATGACAATGGAAAAGGCTTTCAATATTTAGATCTCAATTCTGTGTTGGGAATTTTTTTTAAGAAATTGAGTGGCTTGCAAAAATATCAGCATTTTGTATTCGAAGCAGCCAAACCTAGTGTTGTCAAAGCTCAGCTGGTCACTAATGACATTTATACTGAATTTAATTTGTTAAAAACTAGAAAAGCAAGTGTTTCTGAAGTTACTAAAGAAATTAAATCCTTTTCAATTCTAGTACTAACCCCTTCTCCTTTGGATTACAAAAGGCAAGAGTATCTTTATCATAATATTCGCCCATTTGTTAGAGATAAATTTAAAGACCTTACTTGTCCACAACCAATTTATACTGGCAATGAATAAAATTATTAAAATAATCATATACTTAATATTCCCTCATAAAAAGGATATAAGTATCATTAAAAGAGTAAATAAAATAAAAAAACCATGACAAACATAATAAATAAACTCAAATAGAGAAATAAAGAACTATTAGAAGAAATCAATGATCTCAATAAAAAAAGAGAAGCAGACATTGAAGAACTAAAACTAAAAATATGACATGTTACTGGTCAGTCTCTTGATGACAAGGGAGAAGTTAGTATGCATACTCCAAGAGGAACATGATGATACAAAAAATTAAACAAGAAATGGATGGATGAAGGTAAACTAAGAATGGCAGTAGATCCAAATGAAACTAGGGAATGAGCTAAGAGTTGTAAAAGAATTTGATTTGACAACATTATTATTGAAGAAATGTTAGATGGATTTATTGATAGTTCTAATGAATTAGGCTCCACTTACTCTGAATATATTTCAAACTGAAGTAAAAGGGGTTATCAACTTACTGAACAAAGGAGAGAGTTTGAAAAGAAATTAGAAGAATTAGAAAAAAGTAAAGATCAACAAATTAAAGAACTAGAAGAAGAAATAAGAGAATTGGAAGAGGCATTAGAATTAGAGGAAAACATTTCTAAATGCTATTTAGATGCTCTTGAAGTAGCTAGACAATGGAGAGTAAGGCAAAGCAAAGAAAAAGATGACAACTTAGAAAAAGCTTCAAGAAAAATAGAAGTGCTGGAAAATGTTGTGACATGGCAAAATTATTTAACAAACAAGCAACTTCAAGAACTGCCAACTTTGCCAAAGAAACAAAACAGATTTAAACTCCTAACTAACAAAGTAAAAAGCAGAATTAAGCAAGTAAAAGCAATAACTCAAGAGAAGTTCAACATTTACATCTTACAAAAAAATAAATAATGAAGTTAGAATACCAAGCTATCGAGTTAAGAAGAGGAGATAAATGACATTACAATTTTTGCTCTTTTGAAAAAGAAAGAAGTTTAAATGCTACTTACAAAATATTATTTTATAATACCAGCAATAATGATTATAGTGATATTGCTTATATTTGTGTTAAATGCAAAAAGAATCTTGATGATAATGCTCTATCACATTGTAATGACTGTGGTCGAGCTATGAGAAATAGAATAGATTGCTTCTGTGATTTAAGGAAGGATAGCCACCAGTTAAAACTTCAACCATAACAGAAATAATGGCTTAGAGTTATGTGGGTAGATTAGAACAACAAAACAAGGATTTAAAACAGCAACTAGCCAGTGCTAAGGAAGAAATCAGTTCTCATTTGAAAGCCTTAGATGTTTCAAAGGATTGACATAATAAGCAAAAGCAAGAATTATTGAATAAGATCCAAAGATTTGAAAGTGAAGTTGAGCAATTAAAGAAACAGCAAATCCAATTAACTGCTCAAATTGAAGTTAAAGAAAATAAAAGATGGTCTTGATTGAAAGTAAAAAAGTAATTTAAATTTCATAAGTAATTCTTTCTTTATCTAAATATTCCTGGAGAGTTTGGGTATCATTGATTTTAAAAACATAGGAAGCAATTTTTTCTTCTTGAGCTTTCTTTAGAATACTTCGAATAGTGCTGTAATTCTTGGATTTTATAGAGGATTTAATGTAAATTAGTTTCATATTTATATTTTTTATATAGAGATAATCCTATATTAATCCTGTTATGCTTTATAATCATCCCATTTTGGTATGATAAAGGGAGCATTAAAATTAACAAGTCCATGAGCACGTTATTACTTTTCAAAACATCATCAGTCACATTGTACACTGGTCAATTTTACAGCCACATCATAATCAGCCTCTCATTTATATCAAAAAAACAGAATGTTCACTTTGTCTGGTTTTGTTGCAATCTGCCCCATATTATAACTTTAATTAGTAATAAACTATAGGTTTAAAAGTTAAATTATTTTCTTTTATATAAAGAAACTGCTAAATTACTTTATTATAAAAAAAAATATTTTAATATTTTAATTTAAAGATCCTTTAAATTATTATTTGTATAGTATTAAATTAATTAATTTGAAATAAATGATTTGATTATTATAATATTAAAAAAATATATCTATTAAAATATAATTTTAATAAATATTAATTAAAAATAAAAATTAAAGTTTAATATTTTTTATTATAAAAAACAATTTTGCATTTCTTTAAAATATATTATTTAGTTATCTAGTAATTAGATTTTAATGATTTTTAATTTATTAGATTATATTAAATCAAAAATAAAGTGATTTATATTATTTAAGATATTATTTATTAAGATATAATAATTTAAATATTATTTATTTTATCATATATCTAATAATTAAAAATAAATAATTTTAAGTTATTATATATACCTTAATATAACAAATTTTATGGTTTTTATTTAAGCATTATTGATTAAAATATATTATATTAATTTGAAACTTTTAAAATAATACTTGAGATATACTATATGACTATTAATACAATTATTTATTTATAATTTTTAAATTAAAAATAATAACTTTTTAATAAAAAATAAATTTAAATCTAATATACTTATTTAATTTAATAAAATATAAAAATTTTATTTATTATATTTTTATAAACTTTTAATATTATTTATCTTTAAATAAATTTTAATATAAATTTGCTTTTAAATTTTACAAATTTTTATTATAATTTAAAATTAATTTTTTGAAATATGATCAATATAATATAATAACATAATTTGATTATTTATTTATATTATTACAGTGTAGAACCTCTATAATAGGAATTTTGCTATAGTAAAAATAGAACAAATTTAAAATACAAAAAAAAATTTATTATATATAGAATTGAAAAATTAATCCATAAAATATATAAACTAAGACCTATATTTTAAGAATATTAAATTAGAATTTTAGTATCTTCAATATTAATAAAGTTATACTAAGTTAAATTTATCTAAAATTAATTATAAAAACTGAAATTGAAAAAAATATATGATGACAAATTTATAAGAATGATTCTTTTATTATTTATATATTTTAACTTAAATATTATTATAAATTGAATTATATCAAGATATATTAGAGTATAGCAAAATAAATACACAAGAATATTACAATTATATATAAG